CCTGGCCGGGGAGCGCTGGAGGTGGGAAGGGGACAGCGACCCTGGCCCTGGGGGCAGGAGGAGGAGTGCAGGGGCCCAAGCCAGTGGCCCCCACCCTGCCTGCTCCTGGAAGGGGTGGGTGCAGCTCCAGCCGCAGATGCAAACTGGGTCCGCCCGTGCCAGGATCCCCTCCCCACTGCACCCTACCCCACCAACACTAACCAGGGCCTACGGGTCACCGCCGGGAGCTGCCCGGGGCCCCGGACCTGCAGGCAGCCAGATTGCGCCCCATCACAGGGGAGCCAGAACCGCGCATTCCCCCAGCACTGAAGGGACCTGGTCCCAGCCGGCACCGGGAGGACAAACACTACGGGTTATTTAATGCCTTGAGCTGAGTATTTAATAAAAGCCTGAGCATTACTGGCGAGGGGCCTGGCTCTGTGAGAAGGGGCCCCAGGGGCATACACAGGGCCTGGCACCGTGCTAACAGCCAGCTGGGGGGTGGTAGGAGGTGCCCTCCCAGGCCAGGGTGGCTCGAATGCCCAAGGCTGCTGGCCCAGCCATGCTGCAGCCTGGGGTGCTCCCCGCACCTGGGGCAATCCCAGCAGCGCACCGTCCCCCACACTGCAGGGTGCCCAGGCCCAGCCGTGCCAGAGCTGGGCGACCCCCACGCATGTCTGGGACAGCACGATCCCAGCCCCGGGAGCTGCTCTCGCCCCAGGGCCCATGCCCTGCAGCCACAGCCTTGTCCCTGCCCTGTACAGCCCCTCTGGTGACCCTTGATCCCGCTCCCCCAGGTGCTGCTCTGCCGTGGCAGGGGAGCAGGCAGTGCATCACAGCCCCGGGAAGCAGACGGTGGCGTGGCGGGCGGTGGTCAAAATGCAACTGGTCACAGAGGCTGGGTTGGTTTAAATACATTACGTACATTTCTACAGTGCATTGGAACGATACATTTTGGGTCAGTGGCAAATGCAGCCGGGGGGGGCGCAGCCCCTCCCACGAGCTCTAGGAGCTCATCACCCCTGTGCCCAAGGGACTGAGCCCTGCCAGCCTGGGGAGGGAGTGGGCACCCCTGCCCCAGCAGGGTGTCAGCCAACCCTAGCCCCGCATGCCGGCCCACGGGCCCCGCAGCCTGCAGGGCCCCAGAGCAGTTTGACCCACCCCAAACCAAGCAGAGATGAGCCGGGGCTCAGCCAGGCCCCCGCACCCCACCATGGAGCAGGCGCCAGGCCCTGCAGGGCCCAGCAGCAGCACTTTGGCCCTAGCCGCTCCGGGGAGCGAGCGGAAGCGCCCCAAGCACCCTGACAGTACCCACAGCCCAGACGTGCAACTTGATGCAAGAGGCAGGGCCCTGCAGCCTCCGACAGCCCCTTCCCAGCCCATAGCTGCTGCTGCCGCCACTGCCTTGGGCCCCCGCCCAGCCCCTTGCACTCAACAGGTGCCTCTGCAGCACGGACCCAGGAGTCTGGGAGCCAACGGGATGCAGCCACAGAGAGAAGTGCCAGGCACCGGCTGGCGAGGACGGCTGCCCGCCCCCCAGGGAGCAACATGCAGGAGGGGGTGCCAGCGCTGGGCCTGCAGTCTGGTGCAGGGGGCAGCAGGCTACTGGTAACGTGCTGGACGGATCTGGCCCATGCGCTCGGAGCTGCACATGGGCTGGGCCCGGGGCGTCCAGCCGAGGGATTGTCCATTGGAGCTGGGCAGGGGACTGCTCCAGGCCCCACCGCACAGGGTCCAGTGCCCCGTCCGCTCACCCGTAGGGCTGAGCTCGGGGCCGAGTGGGGTCCCGGCCCCTCTCAGTCCCAGCCCCGGCGCTACCACCAGGAGAAGAAGGGCTTCCGGCTCTGGAAGCTCTGGGTGTAGGCCTCGCTGGCACTGCGCTGGTGCGAGCGCGCCGTCTCCACGATCACTGGCGGCATCTGCACCAGGTGCAGGGGGCTCTTCCCGTCCTTCAGCGCCTGCGTCAGGTTCAGGATCTGGGGGCGAGGGAGGGCCCCAATTCTGGAATCCCCTGGATCCACTCCCCAGCCCCAGACAGGCTCCTCCCAGTACAGGGACAGCACGTGCCTACCCCACACCCCAGAGCCCTGCCCCACGTACCTGCCCCCTCATGACCGCGATCTGCTTGTGGAACTGCCCCCGGTCAAAGCCAGGATCCTTCTGCAAGACACGCAGGGAAAGGGAAGCAGTCAGACCCCCCGGAAGTCCCCCATAGCAGCTGCGGCCTCAGTGCCCCCTTCAAGCCCCTGGGGGCTGGGCTCAGCCATTCGCTCCCTCCCTAGGTCCCCCCCGAGGGCCAGCCACAGGGCCCCGCTGACCTTGAAGAGCTCGTAGAGATCCTCCTCCAGGTCCTTGACAAAGTTGGGGTCCGAGATCTTAGGTAGGATCAGGTCCTTGATCTCCTGTGAGAAGGGCACTTTGGCCTGAGGCAGCCATGCCCAGTAGAAGGGGTCTGCAAAGAGGGGCCAGGGCTGAGGTCAGAGCTCCCCCGACCCTTGCCCCAGCCTGCCCGGGGCCCCGCTCCCTGGTGGGCACAGGCTGGGCAGCACCCGCTGCCCCCGATCTCAGGGCCCTTGTGCAGGTCCCTGGGCAAGGAGGGGGCCGCCTGGCCCCAGGCACTGGCCACCCCCACAACCGTGGCGCACAGCCCCATGAGCCTCGCCCAGCCCTGGGCACTCACATGCTCTCCAGGAGTCGGGGTGCTTCAGGGGGAAGGCCAGGCCATTGTCGATGGCGGCCAGCTTGATGATGGGCTCCTTCACCATAACCCAGTCACTGTCCTGGGGGGAAGTGGGGCCGCGTCACGGGGGGCAGGCAAACTCCCCGTGCCCAGAGCACCCCCCTTGCAGAGGCCTAGTCCATCCACCCAGCCAGGCAGCTGTACCCTGCCCAGCGAGCACGGACGCAGCCCCGTGCAGGTCTCGGCCCATCCCCGATAACAAGCACTGCCCAGCCCAGGGCCCGCACAGCTGCCCGCTCACCCGCGCGCCGGCGCTGTCCAGGGGGCAGTCATACTTGATGAGCCAGTTGTCATTGCCCCGGTCTGCAGAGAGATGCCGGCCAGGTCAGCATGCGCCCAGCCCGTGCTGCTCCGAGCACCTGCCCCAGGGACCGACGGGCGGCCCCAGCCTCTAGGAGGGCATCCCAAAGCCTGCACCCAGCGGGGTGGGGGGAGCCGAGCCCTGCCCCAGAGCCCAATGCCCCAGCAGGGCCAGGGCGCTGCTTGGGGGGGGTGGGTGCTCCTCTTGGAGCCCAACACCCAGCGCAGCAGCAGGTGCACCTGGTGCCAAGGTCCGTCCGACCTCCTGACCCTGGCAGATGACCCCAGGAGGTGCCCTGCCCTCAGGGAGGGGTGGTGCCATCCAGGACCTGCTAGAGACCCCCCAGTGCCCGCGTCCCCACCTGTGTTCCTGATGATGTAGTCCAGCACCACCAGCCTCTCGAACTGCAGCAGCAGCTGCCGGTTCGTGTTCGGCCGGCGGCCCGGCCCCAACCCGCCGCAGCCAGTAGTCCGCGTCCTTGTAGCCCTCCACGAAGAGCTGGAAGGAGCCCACCTGGGATGGATATGACCAGTTAGAGGGGCCGGCGTGGACCGGGAGTGGCTGCGGTAGCAATGCCAGAGCCCCTACCTTTGGCGGGAGGCCGATGCGGTGGAAGCGCTGCCCGACCTTGGGCACCTTCTCCAGGGCCAGGCGCTTCCCGCGGGACTTCACGCGGTCGATGGCGCTGTAGTTGAAGGTCTCGCTGGCCAGGTACACCACCTGGGGGGGCACGGGTGGACCAGTCAGCCAGCTGCTCCGGCCCCGACCCCCAGCAGGTCACCGGTGCCCAGGCAGGGCTGCCTCCCGACCCACCTTTGTGCGGGGCACAATGTTAAGCTCCAGCTTCTGGTCCACCAGGCTGGCACCGGCCTCAGACAGGTAGCCCTGGTTGAGCACGAGGCAGTCGCGCCCGAAGCAGCAGGGGCAGCACAGCTTCTGCAGCCATTTGGTCCATTTGGGGTTCAGCTGCCCGTAGGGCTCCTCGTTCTTGGGCTTGAACACGCCGATGACCTTCTGCAGGGCACAGAGAGCGGGGTCTGGGCCGGGGGAGCAGGGAGAGACTGCCCCGACGCCCACGCACAAGCCCTGCTCCGACTGTGCCACGGCCCTGCCTCACCCCGCAGCGGGAGCGGGGCCCCAGGCTGCACCGCGGGGCCAGGGCCGGGATGCTGGGGCTGGCAGCTGGAAACTCCCTGGGCAGCACCAGGAGCCCCGGCCCACGCAGGAACTTCCACAGCACCTGCTTCCCCGCCCGCGCCCAGGGGCCGGCAGGGAGCACGACGCCCCGCGCACCGGGCCACAGGGGTGGGGTGGGGTGGGGTTGGGTGCGGGGACGCACCGCCCCCCAGCCCGAGCCCAGGGG